ACAGCCCTGATTCATTTTCTATAGTCAATTTTCATCATCATCGTACTATCACATACAAACGCTTACAGAAAAATAAATACACACTCATCTACCTTATCTAAATATACGTAAGTTTCAACCGAACTTCATTGTTTATTTCATCAGCAACAAATATTTGTCGCGCTATATAATGACATTCAATTATTCTCATAAACTGCCAAAAACTCATTAAAAAAACTGTTATTATTTGATGTCATGTCAAGTTTCTTTAATTTATTTATTAGTAAAAAAGACAAAAAATATGAAATGTTTTAAAAGATATGCAAAATTTCTAGAACAGTTTAATACTTTAAGCAAAAAATGAATAATGCAGTTAAATTGAAAACATACAACATTTTACTACAGTTTAACAACAATGATGCTTGATTAAACGGTGCGAGAAATTTTTTCGTAGTTTATGATGACTTTTCTTATATAACTGTGTTAAGATGTTTTTCCTTCTCTCGCATGGCAATCCGATTTGGCAGCATGTTTCTCTTCCTTCAATTGTGCTTTACCAGCATCTAATGCATGCTCTACTCGTTCATGCACGGGTAATGTTGGATCATTTGCTTTTTCAGTGTGTTTTTCTGCACATTTACCTGCAGCCACTTCTTTGACTTTTTCAACACCCGATCTAATTGCTTCCATTTTTTACGTATTCTTTGATAAGAAACTGAAATAGAAATATAATGAGATCGTGATGTAGATGTGATGTAGATAGATACAGAACAATTTTTTTTGCTTTACTTTGTTATAAAAAGTTCTTTTATTGCAAAGCTTGAAGTATGCACCGACAAAAATTCTGTGTGAAATATTACTAAAAAGACTACCACCTGTAATTAGCAGTATAGACCAGTTTTTGTAAAAGTTGGTGACTAACACCAATTTCAAAACCTAGCCAGCATAAGTCTCCTTTCCCACTCACATCCGTTCTCACGCATATTTCTCAGTGGTTTACATTTCAAGCTATCGGAACATGGCTCAATTATCAAGAGACCGTGACACAGTGGGCATCCAGGTGGACATTAGGCAAAAAATCGAAGTAACTCTTTTCTCAAATATAAATAGTGTAAAATGTAGCTGTTCAAATTCTCTATCGAATGGTGTATAAATGTCTATTTTGAAAACGGATCCTTCGAGCAGAAGGCGGTGTACATAAAACCCATAGTGAATATCGTTACCACACTCGAAATCAAGATTCTATACTCATTCAGCTATGTTACGCGACTTCAAAGCACATATTCAGAATCGGCATGTCTTCAGCTATCTACTGATAGCAAAATGTTTATACNGTGATATCGCTAAATAGCGCTAAACCCCTATAGACCTTCTAAATACATCAAAATGTTCCTCTACAACTAGTCTATTTATGGTGAAATCGCAAAATCACGCATATGTTCCAAAAACGTTTTATGGATTTTCCAAAACCCATAGGGGTTTTGAGGTATTTCGAAATTTTCTCCCTTATAAACACACATTTCGTCAAATATAATACCATATTCGGAATCAGCGTGAAAAACTGCATCTAATGGTGTATAACTCATCTAGTTTCGGTAGCTCAATTTTGAATTCTAGAGATTTCTTAGTTTTTGAGATTCACACAAACAATTTCGTGCTGAAAATTTGAATTTCAAGATAAAGTAACCTGAACGACTCGA